GGCCAATCCATCCGGCGACTATCTGCACTCTCTAGAAATTCGTTGACTGGAAGAGCTCCATATTTCCTCGTGTTATCGTCCATTGAAATAAACTCAGGGCCAACTGCACCCGTAAAAAAGCAAACGTATGGTGCCAATAAGACCTGATCCCTATACCTCACACCAGTCACAGAGCCTCTATCAAAGACATGGAGAGGTGTGCGGCTATCCAACATGTTGCTTGCCCTGACCATTAAATCTGCACAGCCATAATAGTCGATTTCGTGAACATTGGAGGGTAGGCAGCGGGTCCCTGGTTCTCGCCATATGAACGTACGATGACAATCCCTGTTTAGGCAGAGAAGGGATTCGCCTGTGAAGAGAATGGTCCCCCATTAATCTATACACTCCAGTCTCTATGCACTTTGCCAATACATACAGCGCCATGCTGAACGGACTGTCCTGCTTGTAGAAGTGAGAAGGGATGCAGACAGCAGGTCTAGCTATAATGGACAAATGGCGATCTTCTCTGGCCGTCGTGGCTCTTGGACGGCCTTGCCCAGGTTTTCTCTCGATGGATCCGCTATCCTGGAACTATTTCCATAAGTTGCACACGGGCATTAAATTGAACTCTCGGCAAATCTGGATCTAAGATTAGCCTCCCCACTATTCATCACCTCATTCCATTATCTAAACGTAAGTGGTTACTCATTCTTACGGTTACAATTTGAATTTAACCTATTGTTGCAAAATAACATCGAGAAATTCGCCGAGGTGTGCTAGCGAACGAAATGCGTCTTAACTTACTCACACTTACAAAGCCTGTTTCTCTACTGACTCTGCTTACAAACACGTGTAAGCTTATGTATTTGAGGTACAAGATTTCCATTGTTGTATAGAAGTAGTGGTTTTGCATTCAATTCAGTTCTTTTCATGAAATTCGATAAAATATGCTAATTCTTTTAATTTATTTCACCAGTAAATTTAAATTGTAAACACTGACTTCACCTTAAAGTTTAATTTCAACTACCAAATACTACTTTAATTTTAACCTTTTTTTTTATAACGATGATCATTTTTCCTATGCATTTTACAGAGCCATGTTGGCTCAAGGGACAGAGCAATCGCTCTAAAATGAGGTGAAATTCGAATCCCAGTGATGGCTGGTCGATGCGAATTCCACACCCGGCTCGCACTGACCTCTAGCACTGCAGTAAAAAAATATCCTCAGTTGTAGACGAATCATGAGTTCTTGTCCCCTTGTCGTCAGGTGAACTGTGGGAGGTTTTCGTGGTTTCAATTTCATGCAAAGCAAAGGCAGGTTACTGCCATCAAAAAGTCTTCCATGAAAGCAAAATTTCTCCCGATACTTAATCCAGTAGTTCCCCCGTCTTCTGGATTGGGTTCAAAATTACCAAGACCACGGATTTAAACATTAGTAGTCGTAAACCCAATATTAGGTCGGCAGTTCAACGACGGTTATAAAAAAATATAAAATACATTTTACAACTTTTTAATAAAATAAAGGATTTATATGAGTTGTGCTTATGAATGCTGAAAATTTTAATTGTGAACATAGGAAAAACTATAAACTGTTTGCAATTTCAAAATTAATATTGAAATGTATATATATATATTTCATTTTATAACCGTCGTTGAACAGCCGATCCAATTTTTTGGGTTTACGACTACTAATGATCAACTCTGTTGCCTTGAAATTTTGAACACAATTCAGAAGACAAGGGAACTTTGGACCAAGTATTGGGAGAAATCTGCCTTCATGGAGGACTTTTTTCTGGAACTGAGCCGCATATGCTTTACCTGGAGAGGAAAACTATGAAAATCTCCCACACGGTTAGCCGGACCCAGGGGGACTCTAACCCATGATCTGTCTATCACCGAGAATACTTTGTGTCTGCACTGTGGTCGGTGCGAGCCAGGTGCGGAATTCGCATTGATCTGGTATCGCTGGGATTCGATCCCGGTTCACCTCATTAGGAAGTGAATGTTCTATCCCCTGAGCCACCACGGCTCAAATTAGTTATACATTGGAAAAAATTTGAGATATACTTTAAAATACCGATATAGTTTTTCATAATACAGTATATTCTCGATATTTCAAAATTTAAGGGACGCTAAAAAAATTTCGAGATAGCGAGTTCTCGAGATAACAAGTTCTGAACTAAATATGTTCAAAAAAGTAGAAAAATATGTTCTAAATTATTTCTCTAAAAAGGAGAGTCATGAAACATAAGAATAACTACCAATAAATATGTTTGTATTGATAGTTGACTATAAGTCGAAATACAACAATTATAATTTTATTTTTTAAAAGTAAGACGAAAATAATGACGCATTAAATAGAAAAGAATTGGTTTACTATGAACTTACATTGTGATTTTTCCGAAAAAATTCATTTTCTATTTCGAAAAATAATTCGACATAACAATGTTTTGAGAAGAAACCCTTCGACATAGGAATTTAAGTTAACATTAGGTGGATATGTAATACGTACTAAGGGGAAAAACACTTTTTGACGTAACAAGGTTTTCGAGAGTATACTGTATATCACGATATTAAAGTTCCTACTTATCGGTTATAGGAAGGAACCGATGTTCGTGTTGTTATCGTACATGTTGGAAAAACAATCACCAACGCATAATGAAAGTCCCTTTTTTTTCTTCTTGAAGTTAAAATATTTGGACTTAATCATCTTTTTCGTCGCTCTATAGTTCTTTTTTCTTCTTTTCCCTTAAATGAATCATAAATTAATCCATGAATTGTCATCACTTTTATCGTGTGAAAGGGATTATAATTTGATATTCACATTTAAGTGAAGAGAACGGAAGATAGCCAATGCCGTGTCACGCTAACGACCTTAAAACTTGTGGACCGTATTTCCACTGATGCGCGGATATCCGTCGCACGCAAATCACCACGATTTGGCGAGTTTTCACTTGGTTTGGCTTTATTCTAAAATTTGAACCAGTGGAATGGAAACAGGGATCAAAAATTGTTTGAAACAAAACAAAAATAAAACAAAAGGATTAAATCTAGGAACACAAAATTTAAATTTAACTATATAGTATAGTTAAATTTAATTTTTTTTGTACTTAAATTTTATCTTCTTGTTTCATTTTTTACAATAAGTTTATTCATTATTAAAAATACCATAAGTTAACTCATTAATTTGGCTATTATTTTATAGTGAGGTCTAAGCTCATCCAAAATTATCCTAGAGGAAAAAAAAGCAGAATTTCCGTTATGATATTGTTCTAGTTACTTCTTTTCAAGAAAATTTATTCATTTATAAAGATTAGATATAATTTAGGCAGAGAGTCGATATTAGAATATAATTTTAATGAACTAACTGGTCAAACGAAAATTAAGTTATTTTGCTTTATGATGCGATATTGAATATACGGCACTAACATTAAGCGTTTGTTACTTTCTTTTCTTAATAAAAGAATAAAGCAATGAAATGTCTCTGAATTATTGATTAGTAATTTAAACATTTTCTGTTTCTTACATTTGTGATGTATTACAATTATTTTTATTCTTTCTAAGTGTTTATTTTGTCTTTATTTTAACATTAAAACGCGTCTCTTTTTATAAACGTTTTTGTCTCTATTCATATAATATTCATTAATAACTTTAAATATAACGTTATTAAATGAATATTCTCTCATTACAAGAAAATAAAATAGTTTCAATGAAAAGTGTTTCTAGATTTGTTTTTTTTCATGAGACCATTTTCGAGAGTTTCTAAAATCGAAAAATTTATTAAAATATGTAAAATTAATCTATAAATAAAATAATTAGAAATGATAAATAAAAAATAATAGATATAATAAAATAAAATAATAAAAGTGTAATAAATAAATAAATTAAAAATCAATTAAATTGAAAAATCGAATTAGTTTGAGCTAAAATTTCTAAAATTGAAACACATAAAAATATTAATTTTTATTTTATACATAGAATATATTAAATTAAAAGTCTTGAAACAATCGTATCATAAGACACATTTTATTCAAAAATGACATTTTTATTGCATCAAACTGTTCCCTAGTTTTGTTTTCAGATGGATACTTCACGAATTTCCCAAATTTCAACATAACAGCACAATACACAGAAAGTTCGAATAACCTACATCGTAATGGTGTGGTTTTTCATCGAAAACACTCTCTTTGAGTCATTTAAAAATTGTTATTTCCCCCCAACTTCTTTAATTAATGAAATTCAAATGACTGCATTAAGTATCATTTTCTCTTAATCACTTCATAACCACTTCATGTGCGAAATCAAGAGTTTTCTGCCGTTTCCTTAAGTAGTTGTGTGCATTAATGGTCTCCGTGCAGCATAAATTCAAAAGCATGCTATCTATCAACTAATTTGTTGATTGTCTTTGCTTGATTCTTTGCTTTTAAAGTGAGTGATAATTGATTATATCAACTAATGTATTGAATTTTGGAATATTGTAACTCGGTTTTTTCGAAAGGGAGAAATAAATAAATAACATCGTGTAAAATTACTCATGTAGAAGCATTGCTGTTCGCACAAAGCTCGTATTTTCACTTAGATAGTATACGCAAGTAGTATACAGTAAGAGTAATAATAGTATCTAGGTAGTTTTCAGATTACTAAGGGTAGTTTGGGAAAAAGATATTTTTTGGTACGTCAACAAATCGCCAATGTTTATCTGTTAATCACAGATAAACATTGATATCTGTGATTAGCAGATAAACATTAAGTTATGTGTTAACTAACTAATTAATCGGTTAACTACATAATCTGTTCAATAACTGATTTCTACACTTTAGTTGTAACATATTTATTATTTAATTTAATATTTTATTTTAAAAAAAAGAACTCTTTATTTAAATGCTTCCGTGAATGCAGACAAGAAAATAAAAATAAATAAAGGATTTTTGATACGCTCCTATCTTTTGGCGTGAGAGAATAAAAAGGGATTCACTTTCATATTTAAAAGAAAATCATGGCAACCCTTCAAAAGCTCATTTTTAATTCCTCAAAGCTTTTCAGACAGGGCTCTATAGTGGTTTCTCCCTCAAATCGCACGCGATCCTTTTTATTATATCATTTTTATGCTTTTCAACACAACTTCATGATTTCCTAGTTTCTATCATATGTATGTTTTTATCGCGCTATGTCTGCCAACGTGGAAGCTGTCAAAAGATCGCCCGCATGTTTTGTCATTATCTATCAAAAACATTGGAGATTTCTGAACTGATTTCAGCCTGATGTGTCCTGCATTAACAAAGGCTGGCGTGTTTTTGTAGAGAAGAGACGAGATAGGAATTAGTGCCATATGTATAAGTGCAGATGCTTGGCGATTTCACTCTGGATATCTTTCGTTTTAAAGATCAATGGTCTAAAAATAAGTGACAGCTGCTGTATTATAAGCTGTTAATATCTCAAAGAGCTATGATGTATTGGTTTTATAGCTTTTATATTTATTTAAGAGAGCGACGATCTTAGAAAGAATTTTTCTGCAACCGTCTCGCTGTTGCAGCATGGTGATTATTTATTAGAAAGTGCAATGATTTAGGAATATCTAGGATTGATTTAGGACTTATGATGGACATAATGATTTAGATTTTTTCCACATAGGAATCATATTGAAAATTGTCTGGAATTGAATAAATACAATGGATTAACAGCGCATCGTCTATGATCTGTTAATTACTATGCTTCGATTGTGCAACTTTAGAATTGAGGTTGTTGATGCAGAAATCACAGATCTGGGAGTTTGAAGGGATATAATGAGCTAACAGCACATCTCTTGTAATTGAATCTATGAAGTTTTTGATAATTAACAAATCACTTGGCGTTATTTATTGGAAAATTTAAGAGAAATTTGAGAACGTACTTTTGCGTGGATCTATAGTGGCTGCTTTAATGGACACGTAATAGTTTGTAATAATGTCATGATGACATAATTAAAGGAGAATCTACGCAGCAAATCAAATTTGCCATCAGTCATTAAAGAGACGGACATATAGATTATGAATGAAGAATTAAATTCAGATATATTTCTAAATAATATAATTGGGACGAAATGCGACAATAGTAATCAAGTCAAAATTGAAAAAAGAAAATTATCTACAAAAAACTACGAGTAATACGATGGTTTAAGTATCTATTTTTTTAAAGCATTTTTTAGACTTCTTATGTCAATCAGTCGCTAGTGGATAATGCTGCTTTTCCTGATATTACCTCTAGTTAATTACATTTGGAATTTTAAAAAGCCGTTGCTCGTGGCAGGTGACGATAATATCGCGAAATCGATAAATCGCGATGTGGTTCTCAGTCACTGCTTATCCCACTAACACCCTGCACCCGACATTGCAAATCTTGCACGTTTCATCCGATTTGTGTGTACCGCCTTTTCTGGATGGTCGCAGGTGTCGGCTCCTCGGATGCAGTTGCGGTGGAAGGCACTTTATCGTCAACCCTTACAACAAAGAGCCAATTAAGACTAAGGATGAGAAAAGAAAATCATGTAGGAAAAGGCAACACAAGCCATCGGTAACAAAAGATATTTCTTGATGATTTATTTTTAGTATTATTCTCATTATATTTATGGAATTTAATTTATTTTTTAAGTAACAGTAAATATGCGTTTCTCTTCATATACTTAACATGTGATTTAAATAGTTTGTATATTTCGTGTTTACCTGGAAAGCAACAATTTCAGAGTATTTTTTAATTGTACTAAGGGGCCAGGCTCCCTGTTCGCCGACGTTCAGTAACCACGATGATTGATTCGCAATAATTGCTGTCTCTTGGCATATGACAGTTGAAATTATTTAACTAAAAATATGGGTACTGAAAAGAATATTTGTGCGTCTATACCCCTGTGATTTTATTAATTAAAAAATATTTTTGAATGTGATCAGAATATGACTCATTTTAGTTCATATAAATACTGACTTTCTCAGAGTAGACGTACCTTTCTCTCCATAGATTTCGATTTTTGTTTCAAAATTCGTTTTCATTTAAAAACTTTTTTTTCCAACTTTTATTTATCTTTTTAGTATTTAATATAAGTATGATTGAAATGTTTAATTAAAAAGAAGCAATCTATTTTTTAATGCTGTATTCGAAAGTTTAAGCAAAATCGGTTGAATAGTTCTTGAGAAATAGAAAATCGGTTGAATAGTTCTCGAGAAATAGAAAATCGGTTGAATAGTTCTCGAGAAATAGAAAAATATTGAAAATGTAACTTTTGCAGTGTTTTTAATACCTCAGGAATGATTTCGAATTCTTCAGTTTTTAAAAACATGAATCTTTTTGGTGCGGGATATTTGCAGCAATATTTCTTTTAATGCATATGCATCGATTTTTTATAAAAACTTTTATTTTTCATTCCTAATTTCTAAATGAATGAATAACATTCACGTGTTTTATTTAATCTTTTTTTTTCCATCTAAATCTGGCTGAAATAAAAATAGGTTGAAATTGCTGATTTCAAAACATGATTTGTATACTTAAGGGTACTTACATCAATTTTATTGCAAATATATTACTACTTTTTTAATTTTTCAGTTCTCATACTTAATTTCTAAATGAAAGTATAATATTAACATATTTTGTTCAATTACTTTTTTTTCCAAATCTGGCTGAAATGAAAATAGTTTAAATGCTCGGATTTCGAAACGTGAACCGTATTGCTGCCGAACATTTTCCATCATCAATATTTCCTTTGATATAACTGTTACAGTGAATGCCCGAAATTAAGAGAATGTCGACTTTCACCAGTGAATGTCCGAAATATTTGTTGTATCCTATTTGATATCAATTTATTCGTTGATATTATTATATTTATTCGATACTTTGATATCGGCTGGGAATATATCAAGAGAAGTTTACGGAATACAGGTTAAATGCATATTGGGTAGTGGCACTTGACCTTAAAAAGCATTGATGTTGGACATACCGGGCTACCTAACTAGACCTAGTATATATTTCGGACACTTACCAAAGCGACCGTGTGATTGTTATCATTCCCCGGTGGAAGTCAACAACCACCCATTTCTGTTACTCACAGTAACATAACTATTTCAACATTTTTTAAAGCTTTCACCACAGTAAAAAGCTTTCAGATTTGTTACCCATCCTTAAGCGTTTGCATTCATCTTTAGAGTTGTTTTCAAATAAAGATATGCAAGGCTTTTCGCAAACAAAGGGAAGGTGTTCAAATGTAAAACGTTTTATTTTTTTTCTTCTCTTTCTAAAACCTTTACTTTATTATTTGAATTGATGTATTCCTTTTATTGAAGTTTTCCGCTTTACTGTTTACATTTCAACTTACACTCAGAAGAATTTTTAGAATCAGGATTCCTGACAGATAAATATATTTTTTAAAAGAAAATTTAAGTGAAATTCTGTTTGCAGAGTGTTCTAAAAAAAGGTTTTCGTATTTCGGATAGTTATATTTGCGAGAAAATGCTACTTTTTCTCCGTCCAGAACAGAGTAAATGTCAACTTGATTCAAGCTCATTTGATTTGAAGTATAAAAAACCTTTCAAAGATTTGACTCAACTGCGTGTTTTTGTTGAAATATTGCAGGCAGTTTTCAAAAAATGGTATTACATTTAATAAATATGGGCAAGGACATTTTTCAAGAAGTGGAAACAATACCTTTAACAGCAACAAGTTTTGAATTCTATTCATATTTATGTCATATGCACTATATATTCCTTACTTATGCAATGCACTTTTCTATTTAAATAAAAATAACACTATGATATATTTTTTTCGTTAAGTTATAAAACATAAGCTTATGTTCAATTATATATGTATCAGGAAAACAATAGGCATTGGGTATATGTTTCACGATGTGGACTGTTCGCTATTTATAAGAAAACAGTATTCCGCTGCAAAAATGTATAAAAAAATGGGTAAAATATAAGTAAGGCTTTGAAATATTTGAGAAGTGATTTAAATGATAGAAAAAATAAATTATGAACTTTTTTTGTACATTTTCAGTTAAAATAATCGTGTATATTTTTCTTACGCTGTATTTAGACATACATTGATACAATAAATTGTATTTTTTTATAAAAATATTTCCAACAGCTAAATATATCTAGTTAATTGCATCTATTTGTCAATAATAAAATTTTATGCAAAAAAAAACTTTTAGTAAATATTTGTTATTTTTAATAATTTATTTAATAATGGTTGAAAATATTTTTAATTGTTAGGTATACATTTTTTACATCTTCTTAAAAAATGTAATTTAATACGGCAAAATACAAAATTAAAGCCGAATCAGTCAAATAGTTCCTGAGAAATAAAGTTTTAAAAATAAGATTTTTCTAAAATTGGATTTCTCAGGAACTGTTCGACAGATTTTACTTAAAAGTTATATTTTACTATGCAAAATTATATTTAGGATGTAAAAATTGTATGCCATACAATTCAATTTTTTTCGACTTTTATTAAATAAATTAATAAAAATAGTAAATATTTCCTATAAGTTATTTTTGCATGCAATTGTCTTTGGATAAACGAATTTCATAATCATGTGCAAACATTTCGAAATTAGTTTAAATAGTTCTTGAGATATGGCGAAATATGCTAAAAATAAAAATAACATTAAGGGGTTCAAACTTTGGACCGCTCTCCTGACTAAACAATGGGGACGATAACCCTCTATATTTTGGGAGTGAAACATCCGAATCTTTCGGAAAAAAGGTATATATATTCATGTAAAGTACTTTTTTGTGTTTGATTTCATACCTAAAAATATCGCCTGCAATAATTGATTAGCATATTTGAGGTCACCCCCTCGAACCATTAAGATTGAACGAGAAGTCCCGATCATTAGATAAAGAGTAATTCAGGGACTTTAATTTTTTGCTCACTCTACTCAAATTTTACTATTTCAACTTAATTGCTGCCAGAGTTAAAATGCATAAATCTGCATCCAATTGTTCAAAACCTAACATCTCTTTCTGTAGCAACCTTTGCATAGTATCTTTTTTAATGTTTATTTCATTTATTTCATTAAAACTATTTTATTATTTACGAAAGGAACTAAAATTTTTGCCAGTTTGTTCTTTCATGTGAAACAATTTTCATTGTTGGCACTCTGTCTGAATATAGTTACGAATTATGAATATTTATGTAACTAGGAGGCTCCGGGTTTGCCAACCCAAGAAATTGATTCTCATTATTTATTTATTCTTTAAATCCCCTTTAATCCCCTTTTTTTCCGCAAAAACACAAAATATATTAGTTTTAAATTATGCAATGCTATTAGTTTTATGTAAGAACATTATGTTAACATGTTAAACGTAACGAAAACGACAGTTACCTGGTTTCGAAAAATAATCGTCAGAATTTGAAGAAAAAAATTTAACCTTAAGAACACACACGCAACCTTAACAAAAAAAGTGAGTTAATGAATTTAAGAAATATTATTTATTATTTGAATGATATTGACATATTTAAATTCTCTTCACTTTGTAATTTTTTAAAAACAAATATAAAAATGATTAGAATAAAGCGAAGGAATTAGCGTTCGAATCAACTTATCATTTAAGTCATTTTGTTTTATTCGAATTCACGAGTTGTAATGAAATAACACATACTACTAATAAGAATCAATATATTAGAATGACTATCAGTTTATACAAACGAGCTTCAAAATAGACGGAAACAATGTCAAAAGAAAAATTATTTAAATCAAAAGTTTCATCGTATCATTAATAAATTTTGGTTACTCCAACTTGCATTTTTAACATTGTAACACGCAAATATAAAGTTCATTTTTGCTTTTGTTAGCTGTTTAAAAGTTCTTTTTATCTACAATTTGTGATCCTTTATTCTAGAGCCCTGGTATCCACCGTGATCCTATTGGACGACTTGGATGTGCTTTCAGCAGTCAATTGCATTTAACATCAGCAGGCTCTACATTAGCTTCTCTAAATCACAGGTAATTCATAAAAGAAAATAAAGGTTGAACAATAATATTCGATATGATTGCAAGGATAAATTAAAAAACATTTTAGATGTTTCGTAGTAATATCTATCTATCTGCATATGTATATTATATATANATATATATATATATATAATGAGAAAAGGAGATAAAAATTATTTTATTTAAGAGAAATCTAAAAGTCGGAAAACAAAATTTATGAAAAGATATAATCTCGTCATCAACTCACACGATTATATCCGCAAAAAGGAGTGCTTTCTAATATTGTAATGATACTGTCAAAGCAAAATATATCAATGCATTACGCATGATATAAAGCGTTAGCCTAAATGACAGTCATGCTAAATAACCCATTCCCACCAATTATTAATGCGGGTTAGCCGATTCTTGTGGTTCTTTCATGAAGCTGCGAAGAAGTGAGTTCGTGCAGGTGGAAAACTATATGGAACTGCGAAGCAGTGATTTAGTGTCAGTGGGTCTGACTGGTCGTCCCAGGCAAGTTCAAAAAAGAATCCTACCTCTCGATTTGCATTTAAATAGTAAGGCAAAGGATTAAAAGCAATATTGCCGAAGGCAGCTTGAACCAATGCAACGGAGCGAAGTGATGAGTTCGTGGGGGGAGGGTAATGTCGAGCCTTGAAGCGGTGAGTTAATGTGGGCGCACCAGCTATTTACCAAGTAATGATGTTTTAACCAAGATAGAAATCTTAAATTAAGTCATGTGTTTTTTATGAGACAAATAGAACTTTTAAAAAGTTCGTGACCATCACGGTGATTAACTTTTTAGATAGTTTTGCTAAATAACAAAGTCTCACGAATTACCACCATTTCTTTGGTGGCAGCGTAGTTGATTTTGGCGCTTGAGCCACTAAACCGCGAAGAGGTGAATTCGTGTAGGGGGACGACAGCGATGAACTTCGAAGCTGTGAGTTTGTTTGAGACAACCGACTGGTTATCGCTGGCAAGTTCAATAAAGATTTCTAGCACTTAAACATTCAGAAGGAAGTGTGGAGCCACGAAAAAGTGAGTTCGTGTAGCTGAAGGACAATGTGAAACCGTGAAGCGGCGAGTTCGTGGAACTGAAGAACAATGTGAAACCATTAAGCGGTGAGTTTGTTTGCTGAAGAACAATGTGAAACCGAGAAGTGGCGAGTTGGTGCAGATGAAGAATAATGTGAAGTGGTGAGTTCGTGGAACTGAAGAACAATGTGAAACCGTTAAGCGGTGAGTTTGTTTGCTGAAGAACAACGCGAAACCGTGAACCGGTGAGTCTGTGTAGGAGGAGCAGCTGGCTTTAAAATATAACGATACTCCATGCATATGTTGCATGAAAAAAATTTTTGCAACATTAACTTTCAAATTTTACACAACTTACTTAAAATTTGCATAATTCATTGTTGTAGAATAAATTGTAATCCAAAAAAAAATGACAAGTTGTACAGAGTACAAAATTGAAAATGGCACACCTTGATAACTTTTGATGTTCTGTTTGAATTTTAAAGTACTAGGACACAATTTAAATTATTCAAAAGGCTAACCTTAACTAGAATACTTAATTTGCTTTGACTAAATTTTAAGTTACGAAATCAGTCACAAAAGCCAGGAATAGGATTACGTCTGGAAGAAGCGTATTTCTTTAGAGACACAGTTAGAAACTGGAAAAAAAAACCCTGAAAGAATTGCACGAAATGGAAGAAATGGAACGAAATGGGAGAAACTTAAAAAGATCAAAAGCTCCTGTCTGCCAATGAATGTATTATTAAAATGAAAAAACTTAAAAAAAATTTAATTAAATATATTGCCAGAAAATTAAAAGTTTTTCAAGCCTATTCCTTTTTTTTTTTTTTTTTTTTTTTNTTTTAGAAAAAAAGTATTTTAAATTTTATTTAATCAGATCAACATTTTAAATTTTATTGTTTAAGAGTTGGTTTGATTATTAATAGTTTTTGGTTATAAAAGTTAGTATGATGTTGATAATTGTGAATTCAATTTGTGTTTTTTTGTTGCGTAAATGCTTAGTATGTAATTTTTTTTATTAACTTGTATTAATAAAATTTGAGAGTGATATTCTAACAGTTCTTTTTATATTTATAAAATAAATTTTTTCACACTTCTTATCATTAAATATTGTGAGAGGCTAGAGGTGTTGGAGGAATTTATTCAATCTTCTCAATTTCGTTGCAGGATTCACTTACGAGCGGCCGAGAACTTTGGTTACAATAGACTAGGATCAGATAAATCAACTAGTTTGCCCAGTATCTTGAGTTTGCAACAGCAAAGACATTCTCAGCAAAGGGCGAGGGAGATACAGAGGGAAGTGGACGACCCTTTACCCCTCCTAGATCATCACAGACTTCCACCGCCTATAGACTCCGGTGACAGCAGTGACACAGAAGACGGGAATTCGAGGTTGGACGACGATCCTACCATCTATCCGAAAAGGTGGATCTCACCCCCAGCGTCGTTTGGCGAAAACAGTCATCCTGCGGCAAGATATGATCCTTACGGTCGAAGACTGCCTCTTTTACCAAACGGTGAGTTGTTTTTTTCTTACTGGTAATAATTATTGAACTGGTAATCATTAATCATGGGTAATAATTTAATATCTTCACACGGCAAGCAGATAATTCCTTCATTTATTTCGAATCCTGGTATTACATACAATGTTACAATGGACACAGCGAATTAATTGTAACTGATACAAAATATCTATTACACCTTCTAATCTAGGGATTATTCTGGACTTTTTAGGAAAGGTCTGTTTTTGTAGAATTGTGACGAAGTTACTCATAGTTTTCTGAATATGTGAAAATTGTGTCCTGTTTTGGGAATAAAAATATGAGTTTAAGACTCTAACAACTCCATTTTTCAAAGAAAAAAAAAGTGTGAAGGATTTGTTTTAAAGATAAAAAAAAATATAAAGGGCCCGTTTCCACGATGAGATATTTTGCAAGGAATACACTTCAAAGATTAATTATTTAATTATTTTTTTACGAAAGATCCGTTTTTACAATAAAATATTTTGTGGAGGATGCTTTTTAAAGAAAAACTATTTTGTGGAAGACCCGTTTTATTAAAAAATATTTTGTGAAGGATCTATTTTAAGGTTGATTTGTGAAGGATCTGTTTTAAAGATTAAAAAAAGTATAAAGAGTCGGTTCTAGGATGAGACATTTTGTGAAAAATACGTTTCAAAGATGAATTATTTTACGAAACATTCATTTTTACGATAAAATATTTCGCGAAGGATGCTTTTCAAAGATTAATTGTTTTGTAAAAGTTCTGTTTTTATTAAAAAATATTTTGCGAAGGATCTGTTTTTATGGTCGAATGTTTCATGAAGTCTGTTTCTATGATAAAATGTTTTGTGAAAGATCCGTTTTTATGATAAAACGTTTTATGAAGAGTCCTTTAACGTCCCCGAATTTCCCCTAAAATGACCTCTGTCTCAACCTCATTTTTTTTTAAAATTTACTGCGTTACATTTTTATGTAATTTTAATGCGTAAAGAAATATAAATCTCTGAAATCATTGCTTAGAGAATGAATAAAGTAAATACAGGCTAAATCTTGCTTATATAAACTGAAAAAGTGAAACACTATAAATCTGCGAAAAAATATTTTCAACTTAAAGCTTGGAAAAAAACAAAGAAAAGAAAGAAAGGAAGAAGAAAAAATGAAATGCAATGGCATTTCCAAAAGCATAAGGATGTAAACTAAATAATTCCCCCTCGAAATGTTAAAAAAAAAGAATAAAATTTAATATTTCTAGAAAACTATTCACTATAAAGGTGAAAAGCTTCTGGCAAAAAAGATACAATAAGTGTTTTTTTTTAAAGCATCGAAACTTTCAAAAACATTAAAAGGCAGTACTGTATAAAAAATCAATACTAAAAGGGGATTTTCGAACAAAATTACATTTGAAGCTGCTCTCCATCTTTCAAATTCTAATTCGAAAAGACTAAAAGAACTTTTTCCAAATTATTCTTTTTAGCTAATGTTTCTTGTTGCAGCAGAATTGAAAACAAAAGTTAAGGTTTCTGTATTTAAGAGTGTATCACTTTAAGGTACTAAACGAAAATAAATGACAGCATTAGGGCCACATTTAAGTGTAAAGAATTTAATGTCGTGAAGTAGTTTTAACGCACTTTCATTTTTACAAAAGTTAACGAATGGTTTTATTTTTAACGAGTTTTAGCCACACAAGTTTTTATGTATCGGACTTGGTTAGTTTTTTTTTTCCTATGACGTAGCCGAATCAAACGTTCCCATGCGTCTGTTAGTTTGTTCCATCAGCATAGTTAAAATATTAGTGTATTTATTATTTATTGGCTAACAACAAAACAACTTTCACATTTGGAACAATCGGAAATTTTTTTTTAATGACATTTATATTTAAATAAGATCGATGAGTTTGATTTCAAGATAGGTGTGTTTTTAGAAATGGAAGAAGACATTATTTTGTTAAAAATTTTATTTTTGTAAGTTTGTAAACCTTGCCTAAAGCTATTGTTTTTTACGAAAGTGTTTTTTTTTTAATATTTCGATTAATATGACGGCCATTCATCTCTTTATGATGTTTTTTCCGAGGTTATTTTTATATATTTTTTACGCACTTAATGCGTTTATTCTCCATATTGCTTTCAAAATTGTTTACTTACAGTTTTAAAAACAGATTATTTTATGCAGGGCTGCCAACTTTTTGCGCTTTTGGGATAATTTCTTCGAGTGGTATCTAAGTTTATGCTTTAATGTATGATTCCTTGTTTTGTAAATTTGATTTAAAGTTATTTTCCACACCACTGCACACAAATAATTTGAAAGTTTCATATTGAAACGCCACTTTATTTGAACTCTCTCGGGGTAATGCTATTAAAATGTTGGCGAAATTGCTACCTACAACTCTAGAAGGTACTCTGCAAAAAGCGCAGTATTTGGTAGTCTTGCCTTATAATAAGCATCACGCTATGGCAATCATTATTATGAGTGATATTTCGATATAGCGAGTGCAAAAATGAAAAAAAAGAAGAAGAAAAAGAAACAAATATGCGGAACAAAGTATGAGAGAATCGGCAAATCAGCCAATGGTAAATTGTACGAATCTATGGAGGGTTAATCAGTTAAAGGGTTACTCAGTGAATTGACGTGATTGGGAAGCAGACGAATCAATTTGATTCACCCATCCAATAAAAAAATGCTTGAAAATAAACCTTAAATCTATTTTACGACAACCACAATTTCCATTTTAACTGTTCAGACAGACTTTTAGTCTCTTAAGAGAGAAGCTCTTTGAAAAATATTTGGTTCAATTTAATAAAAAAATGATAGATGGAGATTTTTGTTCACTATATAAATATTTAGAAAATACATATAACTTAATATTAGCAGATGTTCCGGGAATATTTTTAGGTGTGACAAACCGGTTAAAAAAGTTCATGTATACAAGGGGAAAGTCCTCACACAATTATGTATTTGCACTTCAAGAAGAAGAAGATCACAATACCCATACATGTCACGTATGACGTCAGCTCCAGCTGATCGTTTATAAGCAAAATGGTGAATTAAAGTTGAGCTAAGTTTCCATACATAAGTCAGAATGTTAATTAAAGTGAAGTTGATTGAATACAGCGTCGTATCGCCAATCGAATTTGTTGAAATATAATTCTTCCATGTCTACGTCTTTTACTGAACTTAGATTTATTATTTTACCTGTAAACTTCAATGCGCAATTAGTTTGTTTGTGTTCTACATGACTTCGAGCTTATCTTTGCGTTAAGTAAGAAATATATAAAGAAAGAATTGAAATTTTTATGAAGGAATCTTTGTGAGAGAATTGATACTTGACAGGCTTGGCTTACTCGAACTAGAATGGAAAGAACAGTTGCAAACGTAAACAAATACCTCGTTTCAACGACCTATCAGGATCTATATACCTACAGTACGTCATTATGTAGAGTCAGACCAATCACAACTTATCAAATCCATTGGAAGAGACGATTATCGAGATTTCCTGTAGTAGTGCTTCAGAAGTATGGTTCTTCACGAAACTTTGTAACTATTCGGGAAATTCCCCCACCCTCTTATACATTTCAGAGTGTTCATGGATCGTATTGGTGTATTGCTTCCATATTATTTAAAATAATTTCACGTGTATGATAGAAACAATCTAAGACATTTATCGTGTAATTTTACATTTAATTTTATAAAATTTCGCTTAAACTCAAGTTTAAAGTATCCATTTTATTGGCAAAGTATTTGAACTATTGTTCAATACTGTTTATGCTTTTGTTATCACTTAGCCGGTGGTTGCCCATAATACTACCATGTGCATTTTAAAAATGTGGTGTTAAAATTGTAAGAATTAAACAATTATTATTTTTTCGCTTTTCTATATTGGCAATAGAAATAAATTAAAAAAAGCCTTCCATTTAAAACTTTTTCTTGTAATCTGGTTCACTTAAATTGTAGAAAATTACGTTTCCCTGAAAACTTTTTTTATCGTATTATACAAGGGTTATAATTACAGTTTTTACTCATAAGCATCTACAATTTTTGAGTCTTTGTTATCATTTTGAGGGTGATATAGAAATGTGTTGTATAAACAGATTTCTTATAATATGCCGCACTCGATATATCGAGATTTTACTGTATAAGGAATATTTTACGAAGTTGCGAATATTTTGAGTAAGATTTACGTTTTGCAAGGCTAGTTAAAGCTTTGAAATGCGTATGTGAATGTTACGCACATTATGGTGCTTTGCAGCTATTTATATAGAGTGACGCGCCCAGGAAAGACCACCTCTATTTACGACCACTTTTGGGAGGAACGGAATTTTTTCCGTAAACTTTGTGTTGTAGAAAATCCTTAGGAGACACCATTAGAACTTCTCCCAGCGTCCGGAAAAACATCTGTATGTCATGCGGAAAAGGTCAAGTAAGGGAATACGAAAAAGTATCAAAACAAAAAAATTCAACGAAACAAATAAGTTGAATAAATTAAATGCAAACTTAAACAAAAAAAAAGTTTTTATTAATTTAAAATAGTTTTATCATTCATAATTTGTAAATTTGCTTTTACACATTATTATAACAGTTGGGATCATTTTTATAGACGCTAAATTTCATTCATACATCCGTCTATTCGTGACGCCAACTGAAGTGGCATTTCCGCACCAAGAAAACGACACTGACAAAAATAAAATCGCTTGGGAAAAATCATGCACCATCGAGAACAATTTTGAAGTCAATGGAGGTAACCTCTGAGAATGACCATTTTACTGTGGAACGGAGAGTGGTCGCTCCCGACAAGTTTCGACGTATTAAGAAAATAGTTTGCAATCATCACGATTGGGTAGTAAAAAAGCTTTGGGAAATATTAAACGACTGTATTATTTTCTAAAAAGTCTCATAAAAATAGTAGGAAGAGCTTTAAATATCGTATTTAATCCCACAGACCAACATTTAATAGGCCTTTAATGAATGTTTATTTCTTCCCATTCACAGAAGTTCTAAAATACTATGGATCCAGGTTGAATTCCTTTGAAAGGAATGAACTGCAGAGCGGTGAATTCCCGGAAATTTGGTATCTGGGTCTGGATGCAACCAAAATGGAAGGCGAAGATGGCGGACCCCACAACAATGGTTATGACGATGATAATGGATCCTACGTAAAGGTGAATAGAAAAATTGCTTATTTTTACCAATGAATTGAGTAAGGCCGGGATAGTCAGCTGGTAGGGTACTGGGCCTATGTCCAAGAGGTCCGCGGGTTTGATCCCCCCCCCAAGACTCCCCGTGTCGCAAATGGTGACTGATGCCCATTAAATCTGTCGAGTCGCAAAGTCCTCCATGTTCCCATAACAAATCAATGCCTCTAGGGGTACTGATCCAGGGGTTTCCTTGTCTTCTGGATTGGTTCAAAATTACAAGGAAACGAAGTTGAACATTTGTAGTCGTAAACTCAAAATTGGGTCAGCTGTTCAACGACGGTTATGAAATAAAATGAATTGAGCAAGGAGAATTCGGGTAGGAAAATATTCATCGATTTTAATCATATCTATTTTTAGACTAATGACCATTTTTTATGGACCACTACTTACTTAATTTACGAAAAATCAATCACTGAATAAATTTTTTGAGTGCCAACAGAACTTCACTTTAATGTGGTTGTAATTAATGTTATTCTGCTGAGATTAACATAGAGTCTATTCTAGTTAACAGATATCAACGGAACCTAGTTTATGGGGAAAAAGCGATGTAAAAAACTAGTTCAAATTCCGGTCACGATGTGCGAGAAAAGGAAACTGAAATACGAGTCAAAAAATTTACTCTAGAATACTATGCATCGATTGATGCTATTTTGTCCCTCTTGTGCCTTGCATATGAAAGAAGGGGAATTAAATTAATGTATTTAAACGGCTATCCATTCAAGATAGTGTCAACCGAACTGTTTTTACTCATTTTAATTTTAGCTCGAGTAATTTTCAAAGTTGGGAAGGGCACTGCTCTCAATTAAAATCAAAAAAAATTTTGCTTATCTATGCTACTTAGAAAAAAGTTCTATTATTCTTAATATATATCCCATTTCTTTTACCCTCTGCAGGTACTCCATGATCATTTATCGTATAGGTATGAAATTCTGGAAGTAATAGGTAAAGGATCTTTTGGTCAAGTCATTCGTGCTCTAGATCATAAAACAGATCAACAAGTAGCTTTAAAGATAATTAGGAATAAGAAAAGGTATTCACTCATTTTGCTTTTGATATAAGTAATCACATACTCAATTTACTTTCATCAGTAGTTTTTGTTTAAATCT